TACATACATACATACATACATACATACATACACACATACATACATACCACACTACAGTAAAGCAAACAAACAAACATACTTACATACATACACACACACGCATACAAATGCATATCATATCTAAATCATATCACATAGTTGCGCATCTACATCCATCTTGCTGAGCACAAAAACCTGGAAAGAAAACTAATCCTCCCCCGCAGTCGCAGGTATTTGGGAGGACAGACTCGTCAACCTCTTTTGCGCTGACAAGCTCAAAGCCCACTGCCCGTTGGTTGCACCCATGTTTGGCTCAGGATTGTGTTCTCAGGATTGTGTTCTCTACTAGTTCCGTAGAAAGTCGCAGGGTCAAGCACCGAAAAGTCACACCACACACTCGAGATATTGAGTACTGGAGGTTGTAAAAACATGTGATCATCAATGCACCCAGGAACATGCCTACCCTAACGAACGAAGGGCCCGCGCGTAAAGCAGCGGCTGGCATGACAGGTCACCGGCGTCGGCGTCCGCCGCCGCCACGACCGCCTTGGCCCGAGTATTGTTGAAGCACAAAGGCCTGTAGCGGATGGTGAGCGTCCCAGTGGGCTAGGCGCGACCATATGTAGTCGGTTAACACCTGTATTGCCCCACTGGTCTCCTGGGGATAATCACGGGCGTTAAAGCCCATGGCAAAACAGCCTGTTCTTCGAATTTCGGCGAGGATGTCCGCACGGTCATCCATGAAAGCCCTGATTCGAAGACGGCTTATTAGTTCTGCCTTCCCGCCGCGCCCGGTTTTCTCGTTAGTCAAAAAGAAGCCTCCGCCGAGTTGACATCCGGCGGCACGGCACTGGTCCCGGAATGCATCAATTTCCTGAACCGTTGACTCATAGCGGTCGCCCGCTCCGGTAAAGGAAATGATGGTGATGCGTGCCGGTAATGACTCGAGTTGCTTGAGGCGATCCGTCAAGATGTTTGTCGGAGTGCGAACAGGCGACATCATAGTGTCTAACACTTTATGCCAGTCAAGGCCTACCTCAAACACACCGGCTTGTGCGGGAATTAGTGTTAGGGGATCAGCAAGTTGCTGTCCGAACAAACGGGGCAACTGGTTAGGCTGATATCTCGTAGTGGATTGTACACTCCTAGGTGTGTCAGAGGGCGGGCTACCGGAAGCAAATATCCAGCGGAGCGATGGCGTACATCGCGCTGTCAGAGCCGAGGATTGCCTCATTTTTGGCATCAAAGGTAGGGTCGGAGGTCGCCGGTTGGGCTACCCCCGCCATCGCATAGGCAAGTAGCAGAGTCTGGAGTCTATCCAGGTAGTTCTCAGCTGTCTGCTCACAGGGGGGTCTCCTCCTCTGCCTCCTCTGTGTAGAGGTTCTCCCCCAGCTTCCTCTTCTTTTGGCTGGTGAGCAACTGGTGCTGGAGAGTTTTCACCTTCCAGACGCTGTAGATGAAATGAATGCAACTCGCCACACGGCAACCTAGGTAACCATATTCCTGAGAAAGGTCAGAGTTGAGGTCCAAAGCTCGAAACCTAAGTGCGTGACTGCAGTGATGGAACGTGGCTGGTCAGCTTGTTCTAGTTTCCAACGGGACCAACCGGGAAATTCGCCGGTAAAAACTGCAGGTACGCCGAGTTGATCAGACTCGATATCCCATGATTGCGGTAGCTTCATTGCGTGTGCCACAATCATGCCGCACTCCCCTGTGACTCAAAAGAATAAAACCAATTCAAAAGAAGCCCTGTGACTCCAAAGGTTTCACACACACATGCCTCCCGATTAGGGAGGTTAAACCTTTTAATTTCCTCTAAGGCCGCGAACAGAGGGTGATGAGAAACAAGTCAGGAAAAGGTACGAGTTTCGGTCAAATCGAAGGAGGGGGAGGAGGAATCATCACTCTAGGGCTCCAGCAGGTCCCAATGGACCTTTAAAAAGCTTTGACCGCTTTGGTCACCTTGCTTGTGTCATGCCAAAAGGGCGGGCTGCTTGGACCGCTGCGGTCACCTCATGGCGGGCCCGGAGGCTGCCTATTCAAATTCAGTAGGTCTTCGCAAATAACTTTGGCATAAGCCTCCTACGCTCGCTGCGAGCTACTCCGTTTCCGAGCAGTGGAAACATAGACAAACCCATATTTGACGGGGTCACCAGGGGACACTCCTCGGGTTCACCCTGGGCTGGCATGAAGCCAGCAACACTCGTCACACGGCAGCCTAGGTGACCATATCCCTGAGAAAGGTCAAAGTTCAGGTCCAAAGCTCAAAACCAAACTGCGTGACTGCAGTGATGGAACGGATGCTATGGCTGGTCAGCTTGTTCTATTTACCAATGGGACCAACTGGGAAATTTGCTGGTAAAAACTGCAGGTACGCCGAGTTGATCAGTGATCAGACTCGGTATCGCATGATTGCGGTAGCTTCATTGAGTGCGCCACAATCATGCCGCACTCCCTGCTGCGACAAAACCAGGAGAATAAAACAAGTTCAAAAGAATCCCTGTGACTCCAAGGGCTTCACACACACTTAGATTGACGCTCGCAAGAGCTGAATCCGTGAAGGTAGTCTACTCTAGTGATTACGTTACCGGATGCAGAGCTAGACCTTGACTTGCAAACGGAAAGGCGAAAGAGTGCGGGAACCAGAAACTGTTTAACATCGCTCAGTAGCCCTTTACAAATGCAGGTACGTGAGTCAGGCGTCCCTAACTCATATCACAGGAAATCCATGGTGTCTTCGTTGGATGCCGACCATGGAAATCCCCGGCGTCCCTCTGCTTCTTACCTGTATTTTGACCATCAACGGTGAATTATTCGATGCATCTTCCTTGGAAACAGGTGTTGACACACACAGAAAGCCGAAATCGGCGCGCTCTCTTTTTGTCTCGCGGGTAGGGGTGGGGGGGGAGGGGTGCGTTGACTAAACGCGCCTCAGTGATGTCCACCTAACAAGCCTGAGAGAAAGAACAAGGCAAACGAAAAGGCAAGAGAAGCAGATAAAGGTGCAAGGGGTGCGGGGGGGCAGGGGTGTGCATTGACTAAACGAGCCTGGATGTCCACCTAAAAAGCCTGAGAGAAAGAACAAAGCAAACGAAAAGGCAAGAAAAGAAGAAAGGTGCAAGGGGGGCCGGGGGTGTGGGCTGGGGGGAAAGGCTGGCGAATTCTCGTGCATGGGGTGCGCACTGGCCCGGAGGCACTGTTGAAGTCCTTGAACGTGTCGGAGTTTGTTTCGTTTGTCAAAAGTCGCACATGATCATGTGGTGATGTTCAGTAGTTCGATCTCAGGAGGCCCAGCGGCCTTCGATCAACAAATCCAAGCAGAACGAACAAGCCAGTGAAGATCCGAAAGAAGCTCCCGAATGAAGGACGAGGAATCAGAGAGGGCCCCCCTTTGCGGGTCTATGCACATGTTGCGCCCCTCGATGGGGATCACACCACAGCCCTCAGTGGAACTCTGTGGCGACACACACTTAGATTGATGCTCGCAAGGGCTGATTCAGTGAAGGTAGACCACTCTAGTGATTACGTTACCGGATGCAAAGCTAGACCTTGACTTGCAAACGGAAAGGCGAAAGAGTGCGGGAACCAGAAATTGTTTAACATCGCTCAGTAGCCCTTTACAAATGCAGGTACGTGAGTCAGGCGTCCCTAACTCATATCACAGGAAATCCATGGTGTCTTCGTTGGATGCCGACCATGGAAATCCCCGGCATCCCCCTGCTTCTTACCTGTATTTTGACCATCAACGGTGAATTATTCGATGCATCTTCCTTGGAAACAGGTGTTGACACACACACACACACACACACACTGATTCACCTAAAAGACAACCCATACTGCGTAGTCATATCATACTTCTAGAATCTTCCAATTATCAACTTGGCTTGGTTGCGAAGCAGAATTCCTGTTCCACGGATGACGGGTGTTTCATCTCTGGTGTTTCACAGCCATGCGACGGTGCCAGGGCAATGCCATTGCTTCCGGCACCTGGTGGGAGCGAGTCAATCAAGTCGTAAAAACCGCAGAATCGACCTTTGGAAGATCTACAGTCCAGTCCTTTCGAAGGAGAATTTGATTTCAATGACCACCTGGCACTAGTGCGTTTCAGCTCGTTCTAGACCGTCTCAGCAAGCCATTCAGGTCTTTGTTCAAAGGCTAACTGTGCCCAAAGTGAAGGTTCTTAAGACAATGCTTCTTTCAACATGTGCTTCTTCCTGAAAATTCTGTCAGTCCCACCCCGAAAAGAAGAGTCTTTGGACGATGATCACTGGGTTCCCCCCTGCGAAACGAGTCCAATTCTCAAAACATCTTCACCAATCTTCACCGATCTTCATGACCTACCCAAACAAAAGAAGAGAATCCGCCAAAGATTTCCCCTCCCATTGTGCTAATGATGGGGCCAACACATACCTGAACGAGCATGAAAGCGCTTATATACTTAGTTAAGAGGAAGTAACTTGACTGCTCATCCACGTGTCTGCCAACCTCCTTGTAAGCTGGGATCTTATTGAGTGCGTTTACAACCACTTGACTACCAATTGCCCTAGTGACACCTTATCTGTCAAAGCTGTCGGGCCCATGTACGCAGATCCGGCCGCCTGAAAACGTCTAACGGGTCTTCGCAGGAGCTATAGTAGCCTCGGGTATGCGCATCAGGTAGCCTCAAGGCTTGCCCCAAGGTAAGAATCGATAAAGGAGACTCATTAAGAGACTCGTCTGGGTCTATGCAGCGCATACAATGAGACTGGTCTCAACATGAGCTTGGTGCAGGGTTAATCCTTGTGATCGACAGAATCTTGACCCTGACGATTCCCCAAATGAGTTTTGGAGGGGCAACTTTTTTGCTATCAAATCACATCATATCACTTTAGTCATTGTACCCATGGATTCCACCCTTAGTCACTTTCCCTCACATGCCCGGGACAGGCCCGGCAGGACTCGTGCCTTTCGGTTTGAACAAATCGGGGTAGGTCCTCAGGGCCCATGGCTATTGTTCAAACGGTCCGGTGACTACGAGGAGAATGGTTCGTCCATGTTTCTCCCACCTGTCTGCAATGTCTAGAGCCCACCTGTCTGGTCATTTGCTTGAGCAGTACTGACTCCAGTGAAATCAGCAGGCGGAAGATTCTTATAATTGGCAAATTCCAAATTGATGGAAACTGTATGAACTTCAATGATCCTCGTAGTTTTTAGTAGGGAAACCAACCCGGAAAGGCCTTGCCGTACTTATCGTACTTGGGATTTCTCTACTTGGTCTTGGAATCTGAGCGCAACTCATTGGCTTCGATCATTCTTGACCCAAAAGAGAACTCATTAGATCAGGCCCTCCTACTCAGACTTTCGTTTTCAGCTTCGGAGCAACCAGCAATTCGTGTGTATGCAATACTCATGAGGATCAGGATCCTTTTGAAAAATACAGTTGAATTAGATTGAATTAGAACATGCATGAGGGCCTGGTAGACCTAGGCTGTTTCTCCTAAGTGTGATCTGTAAAAGCTCATCTCACCTGAGCTGGGACCATAGTGACTGACAGTTCCGTAGTTGTTCCGTAGCTGGACGGCGTGGTTGATCAGTCGCAAGCTGGCGCTGAGCTGATCAACCACCCCGCCATGTCCCAGTAGGTGACCTTATTCGACTCGAACAAATCCGAGTCAAGGGATCCACGTCCGGGGGATGAAAAAGCGTCCAAGCTATAAGGGCCTACACGTCCATTTTTGGATTTGGTGAAGGAACCGAGTAAACTAATAGGAAAATCCGTTGTATATACTGTATGCATACTGTATAGATATGTATTACATTGTATTGTATTACTGTTTTATGTGTAATTGTCCTGTTGCTGGCTCTGATGACCAGTTCATGGGTAGACTGTAGATGTGTTTGGTGTGTGTGTGTGTGTTAGGTGTTGGAGGGGTTTTGGGGCTCAAAAACCTCCCTCCCAACCAACTCCCCAACTCGAAGGTAGCGACGCTGGAGCGGAACGCGTGAAGGAAGAAACCGCCGATGTTCCAAGTAGCGGAACGCGGCGCGTTCGAACGCGCGGTCACACTGGGAGGGTTCGAACGGTTTCAACGTGAAAGCCATCACGTTTTAGACGTTTTCGTACCGGCACGAACATTGGGTCTCAACCGATGGAGCAATAATTTGCATGAACATAACGCATTACATTCCTGAAAACAAACATGGAAGTGGAACAGTTCGGCCACTGTAAGACCATGAACTCTTCTACAAGCGGGGTCTGCTCAGCTTCCATGATTGTCTAGGGAAGGTTTTTAACAGATAATCCTGATAAGCCTGGTATCTTGAGGTTTAAGATCTAAGACTTTAAGATGCTTCAAATCCAAGGAGCCTCTCTGCACTTCCGGCACAAACCTTTGCCCCAACCTCGACTGGCCCGTCTTCAGCCCTTCCAACCTCAGCAGGATACATGGGATCCATCATGGGTCTCGTCAGCATCAAGTGTCCAAGAAGGACTTTGTCTTTGAACTGGTGGCAATATGTGGCGCCATTGATTTTGAGTGACTATGAGTTGTCGCGTTTTGAGTGGCAACAGACTAGGGTGGCATGGCAAATCAAGAGATTAGTGGATAAGGACAAGCCGAATTCCCTTGGATTCTTTTTCCGGGTTCCTGGGCAGAGGTGTTGACTACTTCAATGCATGAAACCTGAACCGATTGTGAAATGTAAACAAAGCGGCACCGAATACACCACCGAGCCTTGGCCTAGCGAAACCATCCGTACCGAAAGAATCCTGGCGTGTGAACGCCATGTTCTTTAGGAACTGAAACTGGAGAGTTTATGAGATGATCGCGGGCTCCTGAAGGGCGCTTCATGATGGACATACCGGTTTTGCTGCCCCACCTGGTAAATACGATCTGCATGGTCTACGTGTATAATTCTATACAAAGTAATAGATCATTCAGTCACATACCAGGGCGTCAAGGAAGGTCGCTCGCATTTTTATGTCAAAGAATGTTTGCTTGTTAATCTCCACAAGTGCCGCAATATGATTCTCGCATCGAACCCGTCTATATAGGCAACCACTGGTTTTCAGCATGCAAAGCAGCATGTGCTGCGAGTAGCAAGCAACACCTTTTTGGTCCCTTTCTCCTAAGTCCTGATCCTGATTTTCTAGCATCTGATCGAACGCTGAAAAGGCAAGTCTGATGCTTGAACACCCAAACAGGCTTCTGACATTTCAAGCAAGGAGCGTCGAAGCAAATGGACAATGCAAACCGTTGCTGCAGGACTGGCAATTGATACGCCCCTGGCGAGGTCTTTGTCACAGTCCAGAGATGGATCGATCCACAGCCTCCTGTTGGAAGAGTTCTCTTGCAACACCATGGTGCCCTCTGACACAATGAAACACCTCTTCAACAGCCGGAATAAATTCATGCCAGTGTCGGTTATTCACAAAGCCCTGCCAACCAGTAACCAGTGCCAGTGTGATGGTTCAAAGATTCTGTGGGTCCGGCTCCTGAAACCTAGAAGCGATGGCCTCCATCATAAAGTCTTGGGATTTTGAGTGTAGAGTTGCTGCAGTGAAGGAAGGGGTTCCTTCACCCCTTGCTACATGATCGAACCGTCAAAATCTATCTACATCTCACTCTACTTCCCACCCCAAAAAAACGAGACGGGGAATAAGGTAAATTGATATCGTGGATACGGGAAAAACCATTTTGAAAGTCATGTAGCACTAGGACGTACTATAGGATATGACTATTTAAGCACACAAACTGTGTATAATTACTATATTTTAAGTAAAAAATGACTTCAATACAGGAAACTCTTTGCTCCAAAAATGTTCTTGAATCTTGGATGTCCTGTTTTCTTATTAATTGAAAATATTTGTTAGGAACGAACCACGAAGAACGCTTGTTACATCAGTCGCTCTTTAGAACCTACCGTTGTACATAATTCTTTACTCAGTCAGTTGATTCACAGGCAATACAATGCCATACAACGCCCCTATATACAATGGGTTTTCTGCGGGTTACTTAACACCTCAGATGAAGTAGCAACCGTGATCTACACCCGCATTCCGAACACATTCAACATTTCAATATTGCAAGCAATGGGCCGCCGGCGCCGTATCAAAGCTCTGTTGCCTTCTGAACTGCCCTCGGAGCTTGTTCCAGCTGGCCCAGCGCTTCTGTCAAAATACACCTTTCTCTTCTGCAGGTGGATCAGAATGTTGATTAAACCACCCCCATTTGGGTTGCAAAACCACGTCGTATAGGGAGCTTTACTAATCAGCACTCGACATGAGGTCACAAGTCCACCATTCCTCCGGGTCCTTTGATTGGAGACAACGGCTGTGAGCGATCACGGCCCGGTCCACCAGCCGTCCGGACCGTGTCGAATACGTGCGATGCCGCAGGGCCAGGCCAGCTCCACCCGAGCTTCAACATCGGCATGATCCCTTCGACATCGGGTGCTGGCGCCAAAGCTTTCATGTGCTGTCAGGCTGTCAGGCGAGTCGCCCCATTTCATGCGCTGGTCCAATGTCCGGGCTTCTTCTAGTTCCGAGAGGGCGGCCCCTGCAGTCAACTGCCGAAGATGGCCGAAAACGCCGCAGCTTACGTCGAATTCAATCCTTCCTACCTTCGGCTGCAGCCGTGTCCGCCGTGTCCCGTCAGCTGGGCTGCCGCTCAGGATCCCGCCAGCTACCAGCTGAGCGGTAAGGAGCAGCGGTAAGGACTTTTGACTGAACTCGAATCTCGATTAAGTCGAGCAATGGATAATGAATGGTTCTTACGTTGAGTAATGGTTCTTACGTCTTACACATCACACATCGGAGTCACAGGAGTACCATAACTCCGCCTTTCGATCACGACCCATTGGCCCATTGGTCATTTAACTATTACTGTAACTGACAAAGTCAAAACAAAGCATCAAGAATGAAGGCTAAATGGAGGGTGTGTGGAGAAAGGAGGTCAGCAAAAATCACTTATACGAAGTTAGTGCATCAAAAATACCTTCTACGAAGTTCTGCGAAGGCTTCTGGGATTTCGTTGCAGTCAGTTCGCCTACTGGCCCACCATTCCACGAACTGTCCACGAACAGCCTTGGGTTCTACGAATGTCCCGCGCCTTCCACGATGTTAGTAGAATAGGCTTTTGCAAAACCCTTTCTGTGCACTACCCTTCCGTTTGCCTCTGAAAGAAGGTGAACATGTTCGTGACCGGGCGCCATCTCCCTACTGCAAGAAACTATGTTATTAACTAACCGCTATTGAGTTCCTCAACGGCCCCACTCAATCCAGGTCCCAGGTCCCGGCTACTCGCACCGCACCAACACGGACAGCTGACCCGGATCCGCGCGTCTCGGATCGGATCCGCACGTTTTCCGCTCGGAACAGCCCCCGCCTCCGCCACATTAATGGTGCTTTCATTGCAACCGCAATCCTCAGCAGTGAAGGGCTCGGATGAAGCACGGCGACTTTTGGGCGAGCTCCTTGACCACAAAGGATGCAAGAAGCACAGAACTTGGATTCAGAGCACCCAACCACCCTCCTGAAACACTATGCTAGTATGAAGTAGGAGGTGGTTTGGACACTCATGATTTGGATTCTCTGGCTTGGTGCGCC